CAGACAGTCAGTCAGTCAGTAGTTTTGAGTCTCTCATCCATGTATATGTATGTATATGTAAATATTATATTTTGAGACTCGAGTTGCCCTTTGGGCCATATTTTTATCAGTTAAGTTGTTTATGTCTTTGCATGGCATTGAGTTATTCTGTTGAGTCAGGTTTCCGCTGAGTTAAGAAAGCCAGGCCAAGGGTTCGCTTGGGGCCAGCAATGGTCTCCGAGTGCCGGTCCCGCCCAGGGTGTAGGCTCGGGGCGTGACAAATACAAACAAAATACACTTAAAAAAAATTGAAACTAGTGTTTAGGTCAGACCTTACATATGTATACCAACGTGATGAATTTAAAAAAATATACGTACTTATAAAATTAGGGTTTAGGTTTCGAAAATTATAACTTCTGAAAAATAAGGGTTTAGGTATTGTAAGCTTAAAGACCTAAAACACTAACAAATCAAAACGAACATGAAAAATTTAAATTATACATAGTAATAAAATAAGGGTTTAGGTTTAAAAATAAATATAATTCTACAATACGATTTATATCTTGTAACTTCGAGACCTAAAACAACCAATAAAGTGAACTTAAGAATATTGAATGTATTGTGATATACTATCAAATTTAAGTATCTAGTTTAAATTCTGAATCCGTCTTGGATTAAATGAAGTAATCTTTCAAATCTTTGAAATGGATTGAGGATACATTAGTCATTCAACACTTGATTCAAAATGTCTTTTGGAAGTAAAACATTTCTAATTCTAGTCTTATACATATATGCTTTGTTTCCCAAAATTCCCACTTACCATATTTTTCCTCTATATATATCACAGGTAGTAGCAATCCATTGACCATTTGTCTGTTTCCTTAAGCTGCCGTCAATTCACATCAATGACTTCTTTACCCTAATATTTTCTCCTACTTGAATTCAATAATTCAATTTTCATCTTCTTTTGAACTATTTTTTTTTATGGAGATTTTGATGTTGTGTTTCTGTTAGATGCTTTGATATGCTTTACTTGAGTCTTGCGTATACACCACCCTTTGTGGACCTCATTGGATATGTTGTTGTTAAAAGAGTTAAATTCTGTGAAAGTTAATATTATTCTGTAACCATTTTAGTGTATAATCTTTTTCTGAATTGAGAGTTTATCAGTAATAGTCTCTGTACCTCAAAGGTAGGAAAATTAATATTATTCAGATCTAGAGACACTTTTGTCAAAAGAACTTTTACAAAAAAAGTACTTCAGTAGAAAAATAATTTGTGTTTTGTGTTTTTTTGGTCAAACACCACAAATGTAAAATGTAGTGCTTTTTTGTGCTAGCTTTTAGCCTCTAAGAATCCATGTCAATTGTCATGTGCTTTCTGTTTCATTTTCAGTTAAACTGCTTGTTGCTTTTCTTTTTTCTGGATGACTAACGATAGAAGCTTCCATTTTCGTGTTCATTTCAGTAACTTTTAGTGTTCTTCCAAGTTTTGTTGGTCTTGTGACATTAAAGTTTTGCTTTTGTTGCAAGACAGATTTGGAGCCTATGGATATCAACACAGTCGCAATCTCTCTGCCGAGTGAAATTTCTAGTTCTGATGTAACGACTTTGGAAGGACATACATCTAAGGTTTGACCGCATCTTTATAAAGTTCTCCTAATACAACATGATTTCTTAATAGGAAAAAAATATAAATATCATATCTTTTCTGTCTTCTATTTTAACATTACAATTTTTTCTTGTTCCAGGTTTTTGGTTGTGCTTGGAGTCTAGAAGGGTCTTTTCTTGCATCTGGGTAAGCATTAGTTCCATTTCTTTAGGCTCTCATCTATGAATTCCCATGTTCATATTCATACTTTCGTTTCTAATTCTCTTGTGATTTTACGACTTTGGAAATGACCATCAAAAGCACCGAGATTTTATGAAGATTGAGAGTAGTTTTAGACTTGTCTAATGAATCATCTCTCTTATATCTAACCATGTGTAATATCAATTTAGGTCTGAAGACTCTACTACTAGAATTTGGTCTATTGGAGATGGTCCATGTAACTATACTATCAAAACTCGAAAAATTGAGAAAAACAAGAATGTTACGACACTTGATTGGAATGTGAGTTTTCTACTGCCTGTTTTGGGCTGACTTTCGTTGATTTGTACTTTTCTGAGGTGAGGTCTGGCGAATGGATGCAACAATTTGAATTTCATTCAGTTGTTTTGTTTTCCTTGTTTTGTCTTAAATTCATAAGTTTGTATATATTCTCAACATTGTTATACAACCCCATTCAGGTCCATTACTTGATGTTGATTGGCATAATCTATGTTGGTCCATTACCAGTCAAGAGATTCTCAGGATATCAGGTGTGCTCCACTGATGGCATAATATACATTTTCTCTTTATCTCTTTGATGTATTATAGATTAACTAGATGATGTTCTAAATAATTCACTGTTTGCGCAAAGTTCAAATTGAATTACCAGTTGAACACCGAAGTTGTGCTTTATTGGAACACTAAGGGTTGTTGACTTTGCCATTGCAGAATGAAATCAATGCTATCGAGTGGGACCCCTCAGGTTCTCTGCTGGCTTCGTGCTATGAAGATACCACATTTAAGGTAATTTCTATCCTAACCTTCTAAAGCAGCAGCTAAAGGAGACTCTTGCCTCCACATGTTTCAGAAAATTACCTTTTACGGTCTTCTAAGTACCCTTTTATATCTATCTACTATTCTGAATTTATGTATTAGTTGTGTTAATGCATCTTAGCTCCACCTTTTCCTGCTCTAAGACTTTGAATATCTATTGTGTTGTTTAAAATAAATTGGTCAGTAACTCATTGTTTATGTGCAGCTATGGAGCATGAAAGAGGATGCCTGCTTGCATGATTTCAGAGAACATCACAAAGTATTTATTTTTGTTCTTTCTTTTTCTTTGTTGATTTATTTAATCAAATTAGACACAACTGCTGACTATTATATTTTTTAGGAGATATCTACCATCAAATGGAGTCCAACTGGTGTTGTTACAAGCAATACGATACGAATCAACAGTTTGTTGGCAAGGTATGCTATCTATTGTTACCAGTCATGTTTATAGTATTCTTTCTATCATAATTTTCTTTCACATGTGGTGGTAGCACTAGGTTCTCGATTACAAATATATTACACATCAGTGCCGCAGATTATGGTTCGATCATTGTTCATAGCTAAGCAATAAAGTTTCTATATTTTGCCAGACACCCCCTTCGTTCTTTATCATCCTCTCCCTGGATCCATGACACCCCTTTCCTCGGCAACACAACTTCCTCCCCTTTATATAACTCACCAGCTATTCGCTCGCCCATCTCATCTTTGTCAATATATTCCTTCCTCACCTTACTGATTTGCCTTCCATTGGGCCAAAACCTTTACTCTGGCTATCAAGGTTTAAGTAGATAGGAAGAAATCACCTAAAACTTTTTCCCCCTTTTAGGATATAAACTCTAGTCTCCATAATCTTCACTCACTTTATTGCTCGCTAGTTTACAACCTTCGGTGCGTTGGGGCTGACTTACCTCTGAAGTTTGTTGTCAAAGGCATACTTAAAGCCCCAATGAATTTTAAAACCCCAAGAGTTGAGTGTCAAAGACTTTCTCAAGTTAATCAAAGAATAATAAATGTTGAAAATAAAAAGGCACGAACGTCAGCAAACACTTCATGCCTTTTTAGAGCATGTGCCTGATATTTTTCTAGACCCGGTGGAACAATGCATTCAACAACTCCTTAACCAAGTTCAAACCCTGGAAGAAAAAGGGAGGACCCTTTCCCAAGACAGGGAAGACCTTATTGTTAGGATGGCCTTCCGCATCCGCGACAGAAACAACTAAGAATCAATCGACTCTTTGGATTTTAAAAAGGTTTAAATAAATGTTTGTAGACACAAAGTAGTGTGTTTCTTCTTTTTCTATTTTGGCAATTTAGGCGTCAATTATAGGAATCAGGCGATTCTCTTAGTTTTTCGTGTGTGTTAGCCCATAAATATTTTGGTGATATGACTTCTGAACAATTTTTCGTGTGTGTTCCTCATTCAGACTAAATTCAACAGAGTAAACAACTCCCTGGATTCAAAATGGAAGAGAACCTACTCAGTAAAAAAACAAAAACATTCAACAAGAACGATACAATTAACTTATTCTCACTCCCCTCCCCTCACATCCCCACCCAATAGAAGGAATAGGTATATCTGTATCAATAGTTCAATTGAATACGAGTAAACAAACCACATAATACTTGAGCCTGTATTTGACAGTTAAAAAGGGTAATTTTATTAAGAGTCCTTATTTATCTCATGTGTCCAAGTAGACATAATGACTTCACATCCGTTACATGTGTCCGTTCAAGCTGTGAAGAAGGCGCCCTTGTTCAGCATCCCATAGCTTCATAGTAGAGCCGAATGAAGCCAATGGGTAGTGCTTCATTCGACTTTACTGTGAAGCTATGGGATGTTGAACAAGGGAGTCTTCTTCACAACTTGAACGGACACATGTAATGGATATGAACTCATTATGTCTACTTGGACACATGAGATGAATAAGGACTCTTAATAAAATTACCCTTTTTAACTGTCAAATACATGCTCAAGTATTTTGTGGTTTGTTTACTCGTATTCAATTGAACTATCGATACCTATATACCTATTTCTTTTATTTGGGTGGGGATGGGGGGGAGTGAGAATAAGTTAATTGTATCATTTTTGTCGAATGCTTTTGTTTTTTTACTGAGTAGGTTATCTTCCATTTTGAATCGAGGGAAGTTTTTTACTCTATTGCATTTAGTCCGAATGATGAATACACACACGAAAAATTGTTCAGAAGTCATATCACCAAAATATTTCTGGGCTAACACACACACGAAAAACTAAGAGAATCGCATGATTCCTGTAATTGACGCCTAAATTGCCAAAATGGATTTTAAAAATTGTAAGAGTGTATGTATTGCTCCCCTATCTCCCTACGGAGGGTTCCGTAAAATTTTTACAAATAAATCATCCAGAAGCTATATCACCAAAATATTCATGGGCTGAAAATCACCTAATTCCTGTAAATTGACCCCTAAATGCGCAAAATGAACTTTGAAAATTAATTAATCAACTCTTACACTAGATAGATTATTTGCATCACATTTCTTAGCTACGGTTCTTTTCTAACCCTCCTATCGTAAAATATTTTATACATTGAGATGCTTTTTATATTAATATTTAATCTCACTTTTTAAATTAAAAATAAACAGGACAGCGAGCACCTACATAATATTTGTAAATATATGCCATAAACAATATCTATTGATAATGAAGATTTGTATGTACCTGAATCTAAAGGAGCGAGCTCTCTAAACTTCTCCATTATTTTTGTTTGAAGAATTGCACATAATTTATTTTGGAAGAAAGAATCAGTAGACAATGTGCACATATGATATACATATATTCAATATATTGTTTTGCAAGTGCATGTCACATTGTAAAATTGTGGGATTGAACTCAACAAATCATGTTTTGCTTAAGCTATGCATTCTTACTTCATATTTAGATACTTGACCATCACATTGTGTCTCAAAAAAACATTAGAACATGTCACCTCCTTTGAAAAACTCTTTCTCAAACTTGTTATGAATCTTATGAGTATAGATTGCAAAACCTGTTTTAAAGTTGGATAATATTTAACATAAAGTGTAGGCTTACCTTGTTTACAATTGAGGTCTTCCGATTCTTCGTTCAACCGCTACTTAGTCAATAATTTTTTCTCATAATCAATCATTCAAATATGCAAATAAGTGCTTGGATGTCCAAGTTCATTTAGTATGGGATTAGTACTTTTACTTTGAGAAGTCACTTTTCATCTAGCACTAAACACAACATTATTAAAAGTTGTTGACCACATGTGTCAAATATAGTAAAAATTATTCAGCCAACCACGTTCTTTTAAATTGTACATTATAAGCATCATCTTTCATGTTTCTTCAAATTCAATAATAGAATCACATTAAGACATGCATTTTTCAAGTTTTAAAGAACCCTTGTCATTTTTAAGTGAACTCAAATCATGAGATGGGGCATTATTAGCTATGTGATATTGACACAATCTATGTCTGATGCTCGGTATCATTTCTCTGATAGAAATTGTCATTGCTCGAGCTTGGTTAATTATAATATGTGGAGTAATACTTTCCATCGACTTTAAGAATATCAAGAATAACCATTGAAAGATTCAAATAGAAAAACACAATAAAAAAATATATTATGTCAATGAAGATTTATTACAATAAATGATTTATAATCACAGAATACTTGTTCGTTCAATATATGATATCAAAAAACATGACATCATCAAATATTGTAGTCAATCTGGAGTTGACCATCTTTCCATAAAAAGTTATCTATACACCCTTCAGAATCAAGTTGAACATCCTAATAAAAGAAAGTCTCACTCGCTTGTCTATTTTTAAATTTATTAACAACTCTTACGAATCCCCAACTTGCATCTTTGATTTCATCAATTGATATATAAATGAGATAGAACTTGAGAATTAACTCACATACAAGAAGAAATTGATGGCAACCCTAATAAGTCTTTCCACCTTTAGTTTATTTAAGCTACTAACTTCACCTCCTTTTAGATTATAACTAATATTTATTGTCTTTTTAATTATTTATTAAAATAAGTCTTTTAATATATTTTAATTTATCTTATATAATTAATTAAACTTAATTGGGTATTAACACATGTGTATGACTGTAAATCATCTTTTAATGGTAAGATAAACTAAATTATTTCGAAATAAAATGTTGGAAAACTATTGCACAACGGAAGCATACCAGAATTATACTTCTTACATGAATAATAGATAATCAAATCGTTTATGCTAGAACACATAAACTTGCTGAAATTTAATTAAAGAATTACCTCTTGAAGCGTGAGCAGATACCTTCAAACGAATCCACAAATTAGTAAGACCGTCAAGCGAATCTACAAGATAGACAACAACTTTGTAGTCTTCTACAATGATTCCAAGTTCACATCCGAACTCTCTCAATACTTGGGTGGGAAATTATCGAATAGAAAACTAATTCTTTTTCTAGGTTAGAAAACCCCCTATTTATAGAGATTTCTTCCCAGTCTAAAAGGGAGAAGAAAACTCACACTTTTCTTGAAAACGAAAAATCACACGTTACTCTTCCCTTTTTTGGGTGGGGTGGAGGTAGGGGTGAGTGAGGGTGTTTGGTTGGGTTGCTTTCCCTACTTTTCTTATGAATATAAATATGTTTTCTCTTTTTTTTTCATACATTCATCCTAAAATCTAGTGAGATACTATAAAAACAACAACTAACGTTTAAAGAAAATAATTATTATGATTTCTCCATTTTACTTCTCCTTATTCAATATTTACTCAATCTTTGAAGACACCAATGTTGTTAACCATGACATCCTTTATTGCTTTTGTTTTCATTGAACCCCTTCCATTCTCAAACTCTGACATATAATTTTTAACTTCTTTTCGTACCATATCTTGCAAAACTATAAAAAATTCTGAGCTCAATAATAATTTCTCCAATTATGAATTATTGAAACATGGAGCATAAAAATTGATGGAGTGCGTTCAAATGTCAATACTGATGCCAATTCAACTACTTGCTCGATTCGGTTTACTCGATTCAAATTGTCACTAGATTTGGATCCGAGTAAAGAGAGACTCAGAGATGTAGTAGGTTTAGATGCCAAATCAACTACTTGTTCAATTTGATTTATCCGATTCAAATTATTGCTAGATTTGATTCTGGGTAAAGAGAGACTCATTTATAGTGGGTTCAGAGGACGATACATGTGTCAATTGAACTACTTGCTCAATTTGGTTCACCTAATTCAAATTATTGCTAGATCTGAATCTAGGTAAAGAGAGACTCAAAGATGTTGATGGATCTGACATTACTGGTGAAATTGGTGAAAGAGGCAAAATTCCACCTAATGAGGTAATGGGCGGATAAAGACACAACTGAGGGAACCTATAAAAAACCCAAAATGCTCAAATCAGATTCAAATGGACTCAGAGATGTTGATGGATTAGACACTATTCGTGAAATTACTGAAAGAGGCAAAATTCTACCGGGTGGGGCAACAGGAGGATAATGAAACAACTGAGGGAACTTTGAAAAATCTAAATTGCTCAAGTCAGATTCATATAAACTACCTGGATTTGTACTCATCCTGACACTGAGCGATCTCTTCAACAACGGTTGAGGATTTTAGAGACCAATGCTCTGCTCCATATTTCTCTATTATCTTCTGCAGTTGCTTGTCTTCTTCAGGATTCCAATATCGATGCTCAATCTTACCCTTTTTCTTCATTTTTTCCACAGAATAAAATCAGTCAAGTATATGAGATAGAGGAAATGAAGGATACTGGCAATAGAAAGTACAAAGTATATATGTATAATGGGGTGGTAGGGGGAGGTAGGGCCTAGCATTTACTTGGTAAAGACTTGTGAGGAGAGTAGGGTATATATAGTGGGGGTGGGGGTAGAGGGGATAGGGTGACTGGATTAATAGGTAGTTATTAATTATACAAATGAAGTGTATCCCAATACTAAAATCTCATAAATTAATTAGTTTTTTCCTTTAAATAGTGTTTGATGGATTGGATTAGAGAGGATAGGATCGGAGTAATGTTGAACTTTGACTAGCTATTATTTTAGGATAAAAACAAAATAACATTCAAACTAACCATTTTAATTAGAAAATAAAAGTTTGACAGAAAATTGTTTGTAGGGGTAAAAACTTACGTGTATTCACATCAAACCAATGAATATAGGAGATTTACTTTAATAGGCAATTTTATTATTTAACTAGTTTTGACGCACGTGCGTTGCACATGAAAGTCAAACTATGTAGTGCACCATTTTTTTCAAATGATGTTAATATTATTGAACCAAAAATTTAAGTAAACGATTATAAATGGACTAATAAAGTATAAGTTCCTACGAATAATAGGTGTAAATTTTCTTATGATTACTAGTTGTGTGTATGTTGAAAGCTGTGAAATCAATATCTAAATACATCTATAACTGGTTATAATATAAAGCTAGATTTAGTTAAGGTGATGTGACACCTCTTTATGGCCTCCAATTACATTTCTTCTCCTTCTCCTTCTCCTTCTCCTCCTACTTCTGCTCCTTCTTCTTCTTCTCCTTCTTCTTCTCCTTCTTCTCCTCTTCTTTATGACATTTTTCTCATTTGAAAATTAGTTGTGATATGTAAAGAAACAAAAGTCATTCTTAAAATCTCTTAATTACACCTCTTTAATATACATTATATTCCCTCCTGTATAATTCATTGCTTAGTTATTATTGTATTGTTGGAGTTCTACTTTTAATATAGTATAACTAAATATAAATATAAAGTAAACAAGATATACTGAATTGAGTGTTTTTAGTTTGGATATTGTAGTAATTGAATATTCAAGTTAGGGGGTGTTCAAATTTAACTGAACTTTGAAACTCACTCAACATATGTAGAGTTTTTTCAGAAGAGAAGAATAGAAAACTTAGAAATTTTGTAGTTTAAAATATGAGGAAACTCCTACATTTATAGCTAACAAAGGGAAATATGAACAAGTGCTTATTGTGCTTTATCCGTAAATAACCCTTCGAAAGGTCGCAACTCATTGAAAAAATCACAACTCTATGAAAAAGTCACAACCCTTCAATGTGAATAGATGTCTGATTTAAATAAAATATAAATAAATAAAATATAAAAAATATATACTAAATTGAGTGTTTAAAAATGTGAGGAACCCCCCACAAATAGTAGTATGATCATATGTTTATTGTGTCTTATCAGAAAAGTCGCAACCTTTTAGAAAATTTTCCAAAATGGTGTCAACTGGTAATAGAATGTAGCCAGATATGATTAAACAAATGTAAGGATTCAACTCTTGGCAACATAATATTTGTTTTAACCAGGTGTTAACGTTTTAAAAAGAAATATTTTTTGGTGGAGCGTGAAGGGAAGTTAAGTCATTTAACAAGTCATTTAAAATGCCTTTTTGGAACGAACACCATTCCAATCCTAATGTTTCATATATCCCAAAATTCTCACTTACCATTATTGTAAGAGGGCCCAAATCGATTATTTTGTCTATGTTCTTGAGCAATATATAATCTAACAACTCATATGCATACAATGTGGTCCATTTGGTTTGCTACCTTATTTCTAGTAAGTACTTTTCATTGATCTTTTTTTAATGTAAAATTTTAGCGGTTAAACCGGTAATAATCAACAATTGGTAAATTGAAATTTTAATGATTCTATAAAATTTAAGCAGATATACAAATCATTGATTAATAAATTGAACTGTTAAACTTTAATACCTAATTAAACCGACCAATACGCAACCCTAGGAGAATCTAGTATATAGCTTAGGTAATTAAAAATATATCCGCTTTTGATGTTTACATTAATATAACGAACATTGAGATGTGTTTTCATTTACCATTTTATCACTAAATTATAGTTAATTAATTCAAATTATCACCTTAATGTTTTTACTTAAACTATTGTAAATTAATATGAGTTAGAGTAAATATAGGACACAAACTACTTTTTTCGTTTAATTATTTATCGATTCATTTGAATTAAATAGGTTTGCTTGATTCATCCTCTAAAATAATATAAATAATGAATTTCAAATCCATTAAATTGAATGTGTTGTGATTTACTATCAAATTTAATTAAACATCTCAATTAAATTCTAAATCTGTCTCGAAGAGAAAATTATGATAGAAATATATAAGAAAAATTCGAAACTCGAGATATGCAACACAAAATGACTCCCTAGAGATGGTATCATATTGTTTTAGCCTTTTAGGTCTTGATAATTTTTATTATTGATTCAAGTTATTACATTGTCTGATTAAAGTTTTTAAAAAACATTTTTTTGTTGGAGTTTGAAGGGTAGTTTAGTAATTCAACTCATTTGAAATGCCTTTTTGGAACTACACTTGCCCATATTTTCCCTCTATATATATGTAACACCTCGAACTTCGGTTAGTTTTTTAATTTTGGGTCAACTTCAAAGGACTATAACTTTTAGCACATGAAGAATTAGGTAGCTCATAAAGTATCAAATCAAAGATCTTTGAGTTCTCTTTCCAACGTCAGTGAGTTTGCTAAATTCCAAGCTAGGAGTAAGAAGTTATGCCTGTTTAAGTGGAGCCTCTCTAGTTAAGACTTTCATCCATTTTAGGAAAGTGTATTTTTGTCTTTTCCTTACTTCTAAAGGCCTACCTACGTTTTACCCACCCAAGTTAAGAGTCTAATCAGACTCTAATTTAATTTTGGCATTCCAAAAGCGTGGATTTTAAAGCAAGTTCAAGAGGAGAAAGGAGAAGGGTTTCAAGCATTCTTTCAAGAACTTGGGGATTTCACCAAGAACAAGTGTTTTTCGAGGTATGTAAGCTTTCATAGTGTTGGGTTTGTTCGCCCTCATGCCAATCATGTAATTTCTATCCTTGAATTCGTCTTGAAGTTGATTGATTGAGTTTTTTTTTTTTTAAAGTTCTTTAGTTTTAACTCCATTCCTTAGCAATGGAGGTTTTGAATTCTTGAGGTGAGGGTCTTGCGAATGGGTGGTGTTTGTTGATAGAATTTGAGTGAGATGTTAATTAAATTGCATTGGGTTAGTGTTTATTGATAAAATCTGGCTGAGATTTCAATGAAACTGCATTGGGTGTTGAATTAATGTGAGTTTGGATGAGGAAGAAAGAAACCGGCCAAATATTTGAGTCTAGGGCCACGTCGTGGAGATGCTTGAAATTTTTCACATCACCCCCTCTCCGCGTTGTGGAGAGGATACACAGTCCTCTGTCTTGAAAATCTTTTCTCGATCAAAAATTTAATCCCCTCTCCGCGTCGCGCCTGTGTTCTTCAAATCGTGTCTTCACTCTTTTCTTAATACTAACTATCTAAGTCGTCATAAATCGTTGAGAGATACTATATCCTAATCATAGCTCTTAACTTCACATTTCAAATCAAGGTAAATTTAAGAGTAAAGTTCAAGGAAGTCCTTTTGATTCATTTTTGAGAAATCTTTTGCAATTATCTACAACTTGATGTAAGACTTGAGTAAATGAATTTGAGAATGAGGAGAGTTGACTTTTATGTTTCAAATAAGGATGAAGGGAACTAAGTATTCCAAAGTGTAACACTTTTACATTTAAACAAGAGAAACCTTGATTTTTAAATGAGTTTATGAGGAGTCTTAAGCATCACCTCTTTTAAGAGGATCTTTGAGTAATTATCTCAATTGAGAAAGAGTTATGTTTTAAGCATATGAGCATAAGTTATACATTATTAGGAGTCGTATTGAGCACCGATACGGGGATGAGTTCAAACAACTCAAAATCCTCATACACCATGTATGCCTACATGGGTAAAAGGTCATACAGTTTAGATGATTCCTTATTGCTTTTAAGCACAACTTAGTGGATCTACTTAGTTGAGGTTTTCTATACCCCGACAATGTATATGACAGTTCTGGCAGCGTGGGTGAGATACTATATCAACACATAGCTCATAGTGATTATCGGTTAGAGAATCTCCCAATTAAGAATGAAGAGTATTTTATTATATTTTTATACATCATTGAGTATATCTCTTACTTTATAATGTATCAAATATTGCATCTCTTATTGTTGCTTTCATATTGAGTTGGGTTGAGATGAGGTGAGTATGTCTTCCCAGGTTATCAATTCAGTGCTTATGTTTTAGTTTCCCCTTGCATGCTCCTA